AGGCTTCCTCCTCCCGCCCCGGCCTCATGGCGACCCTCGTCGCGGTGGCTCTCGGGCAGCGCTTTCCTTGCCGCTCTCCAGAGCCTCGGGAGCCGGGAGAGGTTGTTAGCAAAGTACCTGGGGCTCCAGCTAAGAAGTGGGGACTGCGAGGGAAAAAAACGGGTTGGTGGAAACGTCTCCTTAAGGAAGCAGGACCTTAAGGTCCTGTTTCGGTGACTTTCCGGTTGGTTTAAACTGCCGCGTGCTGCCGCCGCTGTGGCGCGGGGGCGTCGATGGTCAGTGCCGCCCTGGCGACACGCGGGGTCCTCCCTGTCCAGGGCATCCATGGAGCTGCGCGAGGCAGGAGGTGCAGGTGTCTTAGTTTTCTGGAGGAAGATGCGAGGAGCAGCGAGGATGGGGCTCCTCTGGAGTCGCATGGCCTGCACGTGTGCCGGGATCGAGTGGAGGTCTCTAAGGCCTTGGCTGGCATCCTGGTCGCAAACTTCCCTCCTCTGTGTCCCACCGGTGGCACGGAGCGCTGCTCGCTTTTGGCTTTTGAGGCCGGGTGTTTGTGTCCATGCAGTCAGACAGGTTCCTGCTGTGCTGGTCGATGGATCAGGGAGAGCAGAGGGGCTGCAGCGTGTCGGGGGACTCCGCAGCGGCAGCCCGCTCCGCGCCGGCACCTTTGTGCCAGTTGTTTAAAATACTGCTGAAATGCAGAGTTGTGAGAATTGGTAGGTTATCATTACACATGTCTTAAAATCTTTAACGTATATCGCATAATTTATTTTCCTTGTTTTCACTAAGGCTTTCTTTTGTGCATTGTTTATTACTGTCTGCTTTGTGGGACTGCAACGTGAATTTATTTATTTACAATCAACACAATTTTTCTTTAGACAAGGTCATCGGATTAAGTAAAAAAAAAAAAAGACAATATGTATGTAACATAGTTCTTTTTTCAGCAAGGTTGTAGTTGCACTTGGTTGATACAGCTGCTGAAGAAAGTACTCTGGTGACTGCTCAGCTGTTCCTTTGGCTTTGTGATGAGCTGCATTAGGGACCAAATTTGTCTGGAAACTTAATGAAACAGGCATGGACAGATTTTTCAGCCAGATCAGCTGCCTGATCTCCATCTCTACCACACCTGCATATGGGATACTAGAGTACTGCTTTTCTCTGGTGGTGGTGCTGTATCGCAGCAGCTGAAGGTGTTTGTTGAAGTCCACGTTTGTTGTTAAGTGTCTGTAGAATGAAGTTCTGTCTTTCATAGTTCGTAGTCGGTAAGAAGCTGTGCTCCGTAGACAGAGATCTCTGTTCGGTTAGGTCAGATGCTGAGGAGGGGTAACATCACACATCCTGTTTTCCAGCACAGAGTGTCTCTAATGGACAGATAGGTGTGCATCAAATGTTTTCTGGTAATGTTTTCTAATATCTTCAGGCAGATTGATTCCAGTGCTTCGCTGTCTTACTCTTGGAAGGATCTTCCCAACCTCTCATCCAGAGCACTGCTGTGGTTTCAGCCTGGTGCTCTCATCTCCTCCATAGTAAACGTTGAAAACAGATTACCTTCCTTTATCACAGCAACCTTTAGCATGTGTAGAGGTCATGATCGCATTTCTCTCCAAACCTTTCCTCACAGGCAGGGTTTTCTCCACTTCTCAGTTCGCTTCTTGTCACTTTTCTGTAGAGAATATTATTGGCAGTGTGTGGAGATGCCACTGATTCATGTGTAAAATCTCAGGTGTTTTTGCTGTCCCAGGACCATAAAATGAAATAGTTATGCATAAACTTTTATTCTCCTGGAGGAAACCCCTTGTTTTTCCCAGTGTTTCTTGTGGCAGCCTGTCTTCATAGCAGAGGTGCTCCAGTCCTCGGATCATCTTCGTGGCCCTCCTCTGGACTCGCTCCAGCAGCTACATGTCCTTCTTGTGTTGGGGACTCCAGAGCTGAACACAGTATTCTAGGTGGGGTCTCACGAGAGCAGAGTAGAAAATGTGAAACGGTGGCATTTCACTACTGGAATTTGCCTGGCTTGATCTTATTGTGTTGCATACTGTACAACTTCTTGTTGTACATAGCTTGTTCCTTTGCGGCTGAACTCTTTGTCAAAGGTAGTCAGCTGCTGTTGTAGCAGGAGAGTCTAATTTTTTTCAGGGCATGAACAGTACATGAAAACTGAATTTATTTGTGTACCTCTGCCCTATCCACACAACTGCTCCTAAGAGTGTTTCACTGCCAGTTCCCACAGCAAGTTGGTAATAAACGTCATTCATTCTTCCATTGCTCTAACATTTTGTTCATAATCCCTATGGAGGTCACTGTCTGCATTAGAATTTATGGTATACTGCTTTTTTCTTTTTCTTTCTTTAAAAAATCAGTTAATGTTCCTAAAGCCTGACCTTCATATTTTCACTTCAGGAAATAACGTCTTTGCTGTCACTTTATGGTGGACAATTCAGCGGTGAGCAGGAAATGCGTATAAATGTAAGTGAGAACCAAATATTTTACATGAGTGCACGTAGGGTATGCAAGTATGTTCTTTGCAGTATTTTTATTAAATGTGAGTAGCTGAATGAATTCTGAAGTTTCCTAAGAAAATAAGGTGTCTTCCAAAAGTGACTGATTCTCAATTTCAGTAAGGACTCGGAGTTGAGTAAAAGATGCACAAGACGCACCTCAGGATGTCTTCATTTAACGGTGTGAAAAGAAACAATGCCATCTGCTGGGAGGCTGTCCTTTCTTGTCGCAGTAGCTGAACCATGAAAACATTCAGCAGCAGTTTGAGTTTTAGTTACTAGTTGTGTGTAATGAAGTGTTGGGGTTCTTTAGAGGGTGAATAATCTAGAGGAGCATAAACAAATAATATTCTACCAAGTCAAAGATACGGTGGGAAAATGAAATATCTAATAAAATTTCACATCCTCATGTTCTCTGTACAGTTAAGAGTTTTATTTTTTTTACTTCTTGTCTTCAGCATGCATGTTCTGTTTTTGTAGAACAGAATTGTTTAATTGTGTAATTCGTGTGGCATCCTCCAGCTAGGCATTTTCATCACTTACCTTCTCTTTCTTTCAGTCACCATTTTGGATTCTCAGTATTCCTTCGGAAGAGATGGCAAGGGGACTAATGAAACGGACAGTATGTGCAAAGTAAGAGGTGAAAAATCTTATAAATGATAATGCAGGCTGTGGAAAATCGTTCTGCTATGCTGTGGCAAATGTTAATTTTGTATGGAGTCTTAAAATAAACAGTCTGTGATTGCCTCTTGAATTAAGGAGGTGTTACTGGAGCCTATAGGACCGATTACGTAGCACACCTGTCCTCTTTACTTAGCGTACAGTCAACACATCGTCTTGAAACGGTGTTCTGCGCTGCAAAGCCGGTAGTGTCACTGGCGTTTTAGTCAATTTGGATGATGTTTAGTTAGTGACTTGTTCTAAAATTTGTATGGAATTAAAAGATAAAAACAGTAATACGTAAAAACTGTAAATTGAGTTTGGAAGAGGAAGGTAGTGATTCCTTGTGTCACCCTCCTAGTGCTGTTATCTGAGCCCAGGCCACTGTAGCAGAAGTCCTTCTAGAAAGTTCAAGAGCACAGAAATATGCTGGAGAGTGATTGTTCCAGATGCTTTTGGTCCTTTGTAGAGGTGTCTGAGGACTGTGCTTTCCAGTGAGGCTTGAGATACTTCAGAGGTATGGTTCAGGACAAGAAGCAGCATAGCTGTGGTATGGCTTTCTGACCATACTAAATTTGGAGTGTCTGTGCTGTCCTGTTCAGGGTTAGTTTGGGCACCTCTGCCGAGCATTTCATGGTCCCCGTTGAGTGCTTTTTGTGTCAGATACTCAGTTTTAGCTGCAGTGACTTGGGCTGGCTGTCCACTCTTACCTAAAGAAACCCCTTGTATACAAAATTGTCCTTATGACGGTATGTTTCCAATGGGAATAAACTGTACTGCACTGCAAAAAGCAGCTGTAAGCAACTAAGGAAGTAAAACATGACAAAACAGCTTGCAGATGTTCCATATGCCATGCTCTTTCAACTAATCTATGCTTGTTTTATGTAGAAAGCGTAACTGGCCAATGTTTTTTTCCTGGTCTGCTACTGGTTGTGGGGAGATATGTTAGTTTTAGTGTAAGATTGCCGGAGCATCTTCATTGCACTGCTAATGAATATTAAAAGCTCCGAAGCATACATTTATCTAAATAAAATTTCCCCCCAAAATTGTATTTTTTTTCCAATATATGTGTGTAAGTATAAAAGTAAAAAGTGGGACTAAAGGTGATGTAAGAACTTCTCCAACAGTTGAATAAAATTTGAAGATGAATATTTGGTTCTCTCTAGTACGTCCTACGCTGTTACCATTTTCGTTGCTCCATCTATAAATGTAGTTTAAATTCTCTATATTTCATCATCAAATGCTTTAGGAAAAGAATTAAACACTGCAAAATATGTGTGTGTTTCAGGGTAAATGCAGGTTAAAAAGTGTAGCCTTGAATAACTTATTCAGGAAAGGAATACTTGAACAAAACAGCTTACCACTGAGCCTTGGTATCTGCTATCGTCACTTAGTAAAATGTGGTTCTCTGTTACTTTTGTTTGAGTGAGCTAAACCTTTGAACATTTGGAAGATTTTCCTTCAGGAGTCATCTTTGAAAAGGTACTACATGACACTGCTAATCCTTAAAGACTGTGTTTATGGTGTGTTGCAAATGTCTAACAATACATGCAGTAACACTAGGATTCCTGCACTAAAAGGGTTTTTTTCTTTGATACAGAAAGGCCACTCTGTTGGGATGTTGGAATGCTGGGGAAAAGGTCTATGACGTGGTGTTGGTCCTTCAGTACAGTAGCATCAGTCCTCTCATCTTCCAAAGCAATGCTTTTCTTAAAGCTGGCAATATAGAAACAGACAGGAAAAAAAAAAGTGTTAAGAAGACAGCATAGTGTTTAAACATCTGAGACTGGCATACATCTTAACCACATCTTAAAATGGGACAGAACCTCTGGTGATGTCATTGTATGTAGGATGTTACAGTTTCATGATTTGTTTTGCTCCAGGGTAGCGTAACACTTTGAAAGTCTGTTCTTGACCTTTCTCAGCCTTTGCTTACCCCATCAAATTGGAAGGTACAAATGAATTTTGTCTCGTTTGCTAGTATCACTGTGTGCCAGGAAAAGGTCTGGTGATATCCAAGGGTCCTAAGACTGAAATTTACCTGTCTCTGTATGGTACCAAACAAAAAGCATCATTGAAATACCAGTTTAGGATTAAAAATAAGTGTATCCCTTTTAGTAACAAAATTTAAGCATGTGCTAAGAGTTAAATAACATGCTTCAGTACTCCATGAAGCAAAGCCTAAATGCATTGGCCAAGAGGATTAAAAGGCGGAAGTATCCGTAAGGAATTTCCTCCTCCCATATGGCTGCACTCTAAAAAACTTTGTAATTTCAGGTCTATATTTGAACTGTGGGGTCATGGAAGATCTGCAGAGGAGCTCTATGGATCTTTGAAGAACTATCCAATGGACAAGATGGTATGCCTATAAAAACTCTGGATAATACGGTTCCTTAATCACACTGAGTAGCACTGCAGCTGTACTAATGAAAGTGTCTTTGCCTTTTTTTCAGCTTCCATATCTACAGTCAGACTCTACTTACAAAGTTCATATTCATACATTTAATAAAACACTGACCCAAGCACAGAAAATAAAGAAGATAGATGTAAGTAGATGTTTTAGAAACCTTTGATCAAATTTAATCTAGTCATGTTGTTCTTATTCCATGCTATCAGTGTATTTAAAACAACTTGTAGCTTGTGTCTTATCAGCTCTGTATGATATCTTTGTGCCTGAATTAATGTTCACTCAAATTCATGACTTTTTTTTTTTTCCTGAGCAGACCATGTGAGGCATATACAAAGACAAACAAGTATCACTGGTGATTTCAGCCCAGTGTGCTGGGGAAACTGAAGCTTATTGCCCCAAACTAAAGATTCAAATGGCTAGAGTTAGGTGTTAGATATTTATAAAATCTGTTACTTGATCTCCATATTAGGCATTTATTGTTGCAGAAGGTGGAAGAAGTGACTTCAGTTTCAAGCTGTGGATTGTGTGCTGATGTCCTGTTCTGTCTACGCTCTTGTCTGCACTTGTGCTCTCCTTCTAACTGTATCAATATTTAAATTAGGAAATTTTTCTAAATTACTTTTAATTTTTACTCTTCCACATTCTATTTTAGCAGCTATTTATCCTATTTACTTCATTTACAGAGACTGGAATTGTCTGTATTAATAATAGCTACTCTTTCC